TACATACAGTATAGTCTATACTGTGCAGTGCGCCAACCAGTTCTGACAAGAAAATGTAAGTATTTTACGAATTTCTTACAAATGTGTACAATGTGATTCATAGGAAAATGTACAATTTGAAAAAAAAAAGTAAGCATGAAGCTGCACTGCATTAACCCTCAATGGAGTGTAAGTGAGTCATACTAAAACATACAGATGAACACGTGAACAGCATAAAACAGTTACGAATTGTCATGAGACTGTGTTGAATGTGCAGTATGCTAGTATTTCATTCGGATTACTAGACATCTCATGCTGAATTACACTTGCAAAAAGTTGTTGCGTACTACTATTTGAAGCTTTTATCAATGCATACTATATATTATTTAGAAAAACAGTAGGCAGTATACATTATATTATATGCTAATATTATATTCCTTTAAAAATGCAATGTTTGAAGTGTTTACCATTTACATATTGCACACCAGTGTTACTTTAGGATCACTGAAATGCTATTATAGTTTTATTAATAGTTTCAATTAGTTTTTATTTTCATATTTTCCATGAAAATTTGTTTTTGAAGTTTTAGTAATGTTATTTTTGTCGTTTTAAAAAATGTCTATATAGTTTATATTAATTTTTATCTCAGTTATTTTAGTACATCAAGTAGGGTGAAAATGAGAAAGGTTGCCTTGTTAACTAGCGGAAATCAAATATATATTTCAAAATGTTTTGTTTAATTAACGTTTATTTAATTTCAATGAACAAAAATGTTTTTTAATGCTTTTTGTTAACTATAATAACCCTGCTGTACACTGATTCAGGTATTATTTTTAATAGTATGCAGTATGCAATACTCGTGTATTTCATTCCGAACATAGCCGTTGAAAGTGTGTTCAGGGCTGATCCATCGATGTGAGCTGGTCCTCTACTTAATTACTTTTTAGATGATTCTCAGTTATTGAAACCTCAGGCTCATTTGGCAACAGCGTTCATATATTTCAAATATTTAGCCATGCGAACAGGAATGTTCCAAACTCTCAGTTGTGCTGTAAATGTTCCTTAAGCCTATAAATTTTGCTTTATGGTAAGTTTGTAACATAGAAAATAAGCATCCCCAAATGCCTTTTTTTTTCCATAATGGGATTGTTTAGAAAAATTCACGCAGCCCTTTTCAATGATGTGTCCTTGGGTACCGTGAACGTTCTCCCGGCATTGACGCATGGCAGCCTGCTTTTTGCTGTGCCAAGCGTCCGTGTCCTGCTGGTGGCAGTGACCTTCCTTCCCTTCTGAACAGTGACTGTCCTGACCCTGGGTCATGGGCCCTGGGAGAGGAACAGGCTGATCAAGGGGAAATATTCGTACTCATTCCATTCACTGACACAGGAAACAGGTCAGTGAAAGTGTGTGTGACTTTAAAGGAATAGTTCACCTAGCAATTAAAATTTGCCAAAATAAAAAAAATGTACCCACTTTCAGGTAATTCAATATGTTGATGAGCTTGTTTCTTCATCAGATTTGGAGAAATGTAGCATTACGTCACTTGCTCACAAATGGATGCTCTGCAGTGAATGGGTGCCGTCAGAATGAGAGTCCAAACAGCTGATAAAACATCACAATAATCCACACCACTCCAGTCCATCAGTTAATGTCTTGTAAAGAAAAAAGATGCTTGTTTGTAAAAAAACAAACAAATCTGTTATGGAGGCATTTTAACTTCAGTCTGTTGCTACTGGCTAAAATATGAATCCTCTATCCATAATATTGCTCACTCAAAACTCATATTTCAGGCCAGAAATATTTGGTCAGTGCATTACAGGCATGTGTAACTAGAAGTATTTGTGTTCACATACTTGCCTTGGGTTTATTTTAGGCTGAACTCAGCCTCAAGTTGACTGAAGAACATCCTTTTCTTTTATCAAGCAGAAAAGGAGTTACTTAGCTTAGTGTTCAGGCTACTCATCTCCATACTAAAATGGTACAATAAATATTTGGAAATCTAAATCTAAATTGTAAAATTAATAATAAATGTTAATTAACATTAAAATAATATTATAACATAATTATTTAAAAACATTAATAATAATAAATTGTGCACTATTCCTTTAAGGAACTAAAATTGACCGATGCTTTTTATTATGTGTCAGTTTCTGTCAGTACAGCATGTGTGCGTATAATCAGATTTCAGTGTTTTCCTATCCATTTTTCAATAAAGCTCCATGTTATTGCTGAGCTCAAGAGTTTTAAGGATTCAGTCTCTCTCTTGTTTTTACTTACAGGTCTCTGTTCTTTGCTTTCTCTGCAAAACCCCCTGAAAGCCGCTCCTGAGTCAGCAAAGAAGAGGAAACAAGAGAAAGGCATCGAGGGCAGTTCAGCTGTGTTTACTGGCTTCGTCAAACATGATGATTGCTTCTCTCAGACATAAGAGGTCAGTTATCGATTTGACAGATAGCGGATTGATTTTTACTCAGGGATTCATCACTCTAAACAAGCCTTTCAGACTCCACTGATGGCATTGTTTAAACCATGAGCCAGAATTTGTTTTGGAGTTTTTGTGCCATGGAAATAATTCTAATTCAAATTGTGTGGCTTGTCAGTTTTTTCTTGACTTTCAATTTTTTCAGCAGCAAATGATGAAATTAGTGCTTTTTTACCTGGGCACCATAATAACCATGGCAACATGCTAACTTCTCAACGCAACAATAAGAGACATCCGTCTAGGAGATTTACATAGAAAATCAATGGAAATGTAGCTTGTACAGATGTAACAATCTGTATTTTATGGTATTACATTTTTTTTGGGCAAAACAAATAAAATGAAATAAATATGTTTTCAATAGTGTAGCGATGTATGCACAAACCAAGCAATTTCTGTTGGCAAAACCAGGTGACCAACTTGAACCCTTTGCGAAATCTGTGTGGAAAAGTCTTTTGCCCTCAAGCTAAATTCTGGATCGCGTAGATTACTATTAAAATGACTCACCCGTGAAAATTCTTTGAACAATGGCAAGTATGACTGCACTTTAAAGCACCTTTTTTTTTTGATACAGTAGTGATACAATAGTGGACTTATAATATAGACCAGGGGTGTCCAATCCTGTTCCTCGAGGGCCACTGTCCGGCAAAGTTTAGCTCCAACCCCAATTAAACACACCTGAAGCAGCTAATCAAGCTCTTACTAGGCATACTAGAAACTTCCAGGCAGGTGTGTGAGACAAGTTGGAGCTAAACTGTGCAGGACACCGGCCCTCCAGGACCAAGTTTGGACACCCCTGATATAGACCAATTTCAGTGTTTGCAAACAGTGATGACGTTTTTTGTGGGCGGAGCCTATCTGGTGGCAGAAAAGGACAGTTTTAATGTAGCAGTCTATTCAAGCCATGGAATAAAAAATGTAATTTTGAGTTTATATTTCAAAATTCTGACTTTTTTCTTGCAATTCCGAGATTATATCTCACAATTCTGGTAAGAAAAATCAACTCCTCATTCTTTCTTTTTAGTTTATAATCCCACACTTCTGGCTTTTTTTCCTCAGAATTGACAAACTCTCAATTGTTGAGTTGAATCAAGTTATAAAGTCCGAACTGGGAGATATAAACTTGCATTTACAAGAAAAAAAGTCAGAATTGTGAGATAAAATAGGTAAATGTTATGTAAAATTTTATAGGTATTTCATGCATGTATTTCAGCTGTAGGGCTAATATGTCCCCTTTATGAATATTATATAGACCTATTGTTTAAATCAAATTTATGCTTTAAAAATAGGGTAATCATAGCAGGTTTCATCCATAGTTTGTCCGCTTCAAATGGCGTCTTTGACTACAGTATTATATAAAAATTATTTGCATTCTGATTCTGACATCCAAAGGCACAACAATACATTTTTTCTCTTATTCCATGGATTTTACCCGTTTCCCTCCACTTGCTCCCAGTGTTTTTCTGCCTCCACAATGCACGCGCAGCTGCAAGTGACGTAAATGTGACGTCTACTCGAAATTGGTCTATACTAGCACCTACTGGTGTGGATGCATGAAGTTTTTGCTTTAATAATTCATATGATTGTCATATGAATTATGACCCACTTCATGTAAAATAAAACAGCTTTTGTTTCCCTTTTACTTTAAGTTAAAGTTTTCCCAATTTCGTTTTGTTTGTTGTTTTAATAATTTTTTGAAATGTTTAAATTATAATAAATGTTTAAATTTAGTTTTTATTCATTTTTATTTCAATTTTAGTAATAATTTAGTGAGAAATGTTGCCTTTGCAACTAACTGAAATAAGTTGTATGTTTTATTTTATTTATTTATTTATTTTTCATTACACCATAGCAGTGAAAATCATTCACAGTTGTATCTATCCTTTCTTTATAAGAGGCTGTAAGGGTCTGTGTTCTTAAGCAAATGATACAAATAGTGGTTTTGGACTCATAATATACTGACACCTACTGGTGTGGATGCATGAAGTTTTTGCTTTATTAATTCAGTCATATGATCTCCACGAGGGACTCCCCACTAAAAATAAATCAGCTTTTTTAAACATTTATCAGACACTTTTATCCACCTAAAGTGCATTGAAGGCACATATTTTATTAGTATTTATATCCCCTGGGAACGAAATTCATGACCTTAAGTGTTACTAGTGCCATATTCTACTATATATTTTTTTTTAAGTACTAGAACTTTTTAATTAGCATTCTCGCCTCTATCTCTGCCACCATCTACAGTTTCATCACTTTCACAGGGATTTATTAGTCTATTATACCTTAAGTTCTGCTCAGAGGTGGGAGTCTTCTATATCACCTTGGCAACCAGAACTGGGAGCTGCATGGGGTCTGAGATCAAACTAAACCACTCAAATCTAATCCTCAATCACGGTAAGATCATAAGTCTGGCCAGGCTCCCGGGGCTGGTGACGGGTGGGTGAGATGGGCAGGAATGTGTAGGAGGTACAGGGGTGTGGTCTCTCTCAGATCAAAACTGTGAGTCTCTCTTAAAGCAGCTGTGCATTCAGTGACAGGCGAGCTGAAGCAGGTGTACATCTACATATAGAAACTACTGAGGACGTCTGTCTGCTGGGAAAGAGACAGCCTTACAGCACAGTGAGTAGGAGCTTTTATTTGAAGTATTTGAAGTTGAAGAAAGACAGTGTTAATTTGAAAAGTTTTCTGAAGAAAAATATCTTAAATATATGTATGTAAATAAATGTTAATATACGTTGTGTGTCTTTTGAGGTCATATGATAGTTTTGCACGAGAGAGAAAAAAAATTAATTTAAAGTCACTTTCATTGACAATATTTCCCTTCGCCATATGTGAAATCCCAAATGTGCTTGGGTATCGTTCCAACATTTTGCACAAAGTTTAATGTCAATGACATTAAAGCTATCACTTTTAATTCATTGAATTTTTTTTTTGTTGCATTTTCTAATTTTAGTTTTAATTAACGATAAAAACAGTTGCCATGACATTTCCGAAGATGTGAGAGAAAGAATTTGAAAATTAAGGAACAACCACCTGTCAAAGTCAGATGTAGAGTTTTATCATGCTTTTACCTCACGTAGTTAGACATTAGTGGTGAAGATCGCTCACAGCTGTACGATCTGTCCTCTGTTTATAAGAGGCTGTAAGGGTCTGTGTTGGCTCTTACAGTCTTTTATTAGTACAAGATGTGTTTTAGGATTGAGGTATTCCACCCGGAGCGGGGACTCGTCCGGAATGTCTGACTCCTGCTGCGGACAGAAGCAAACATACAGTACTCGTCATTTGAGGGGCAAATGCACTCGAACTACTTGCCAATGCATATTTTCAGTTCTAGATGAAGTATCGAAACTGTATTGATTTCAGTTGTGATGTTTTCGTGACATCTGCCCTTTAAAGATGACATCAAAGGTGACCCCTTTGGCCTGCAGCTGTGGGTGGTTTCCCTTCTATTCGTCCCCTTCCACTTTACCACTAATGTAGACCTCAGAACTCCTATAGCACTGAACGCAACTTGTCATTACACCCATCTTCACTGTAACACATGGAAACAAGGTCTTTCCGGGAGGCCTTTATGTTGTGTAGGCGTCCTATAGGGATTCTGAGGCTGAATGAGCTTTTGTTCTCTGAACATTAGTGAACATTAGCAAACATTTGCATCCGTAAAGAGCAAGTGTGTTAATCGGTTACTCATGGTGAAATGTGTTTGCGGGCAGAGGATGGTGAGAAATTCTGAGGTGCCAAGACTGTCGCATCCATGTGTTTCGTGGATTCATTCACAAATACGTCATCAGTGTCAGGTGAGTCAGCACACAGGATGGTCCCCAAAGCCACAGGAAAGTGCTCTTCCCTGCAGTCAGCTGACTTCCTGTCTCTCAAAGGTTAATGCCAATTCCACCAACACTACCGGCTATGTTGCGTAACATCATTATTGGCGTGTTTTACAGTTTTAATGTACTGTTTTAAAAGTTAATATTTTAAATCTAAGCTCTAAAACATTTGGAGTTATTTTCAATGCTGACTGACTCACCCTGTTGAAAAACCCAGCATATGCTGGTTAGGTATATGTTTTGAAGCATGGCTGCTGGTTTAAGCTGGTCATGAGCTTGTTTAAGTTGCTCATGTGCTGGTCCTAAGCTGGTCCTAAGTAACTAGCTCCTACTCAGGACCAGCTTAAACCAGCTCAAACCAGCAGCCATGCTTCAAAACATACCTAACCAGCATATGCTGGGTTTTTCAACAGGGCATTTAGCTGTCAGCTAGCTGTATTTAAAGGGGTCATATGACGTTGCTAAAAATAACATTATGTTGTGTGTTTGGTGTAATGAAATGTGTTTATGCGGTTTAAGGTTCAAAAAACACATTATTTTCCACATACTGTACATTATTGTTGCTCCTCTATGCCCCGCCTTTCTGAAACGCGTCGATTTTTTACAAAGCTCATCGTTCTGAAAAGCGAGGTGTGCTGTGATTGGCCAGCTATCCAGTGCGTTGTGATTGGCCGAATACCTCAAGCGTGTGACGGAAATGTTACGCCCCTTAACACACTGTCTGTGATGCCGTGTCCCAGCACGACGAGACAAAACCAATAAAACCCATTACAAACAAGGCATTTGTTGCATCCAGTGGGGACATAATTACTGATTATAATGACTTATACTGTTTTTACGCGTTGAGTATCGCGCCGTGTAAACATAAAACCATGTCTGCATTTGTGATCGAAGAAACGACAAACAACAAGCGCTACTCGCATTTGAATCAATCAATCAAATTCTTTAAATATAAAAAACATACTTACAGGCTGTGAGTCAGAAGCGCCAGACTGTCCTTGCAAAGTTGGAACTGCCCCACTTTATAGAACAGCCTTTGAGCACAGACGCATTGTATGCTAGGCAACTCTGCAGGTTCAGGAAACAGTCCTCCATAAAATACGTCACACAACATCACACACGGCGGGCTTGAGTGAGGAACGGCAGGAGGACTTGAGAACAGCGCGGTCGGTGGGCTTGTGGCAACCACATGTGACGACCCCGGGCTGGACTCCGCTTCGTCCACGGTGAAAGCTGATCCGGCGATCCACAGCGTGAAGTTGATATATTTCCTCAGCGACCAGCACGGATCAATACTACAGCGAGAATAAAAGTTACGCCTTATTTCTTTGCATGAACATTTGGGAGGCGTTATGCAAATCTTCCCACATCGTGATGTAGACATGTGGGGGCGTGTTAGAACGAGCCATTTTAGGACTTTTATAAAGAATGTCTCTTTGGATTTGAGACTTTAGTCTTTGCAATTTTACAGATCTTCTTTGTGCACCAAGAGCTTGTAACACTCCAAAGAGAAAGGAAAAATTTAAATCGCATCATGTGACCCCTTTAAGCTATTCCAGAGTAGTCTAATAAAATCAATTAAGAGTGCAGCCTAATGTAATTCACAAAAGTATATCGTATTACCATGATTTGTGTTCAAAAACATGGTATTAACGTGATATATGTCAAAAAATTTATAAAAAACGTGGTAGGCTACTATAATGGTACCGCGTTCAAAACCAACAGTAATATTAACTCAGTACTTTTTGCTAGCCAGAGTTTTCAGGCATGCTGCAGTTTTACCCTCATAATGTGGAAAATAATAAATATAGCAAAGGAAGGAAAAGGCAGAAAAGAGTAAATATCATTCTCCGAAGCTCTAAACCCCTGCAGGTCTCTCTCGGCTCTGTTCAGTAGAAACGCTTCTTCATCCCCAGCGGAGAAATCCGGACTAAACCAACTCGCCATGTAGGGGGGACAGGGGGCACATTACGAGAACTCCTCTGCGTTTGCACCCAAAGTAACCACTTTGGCACTTTATGCAAACTTAATATATAATTATATGTCGTATAACATCGAGTGGTCTCAAATTTTAACGTTACAGAATAACAAACTGCGTCATTTATACGAACTCGCACCCCTTTGTATCCACAACTACATTTATCAATCTGAGGGCCGAAATCCGCACACATTCAATCACTGATCCAGATGAGCCAGCTGGCCACGAGCACTACTCGCAATACGCGAACGGGGCGTTTCAAAGACGTCGAAACAATGATAATAGACTGTTTTGGTTTGAAATAGCGTTTGGGACTTTGTAGTTATGGGGTGTCGGCATCCGCTGGATGGATGGGTGGACGCTACGTGGTAGTTTATGAGTGATCGGACCGGTGTGCTGAACGGGTTCAGTCCGATCTCTACAGGTCAGTGTTGTTTCCTTAAACAGATTACGATTAGCTTGTGTAACTGTTCCTAGAATGTAAAGCGGAAGCGGCTTTGTAACATACACCACTGAACGATGAACCGAATCGAATGTTTGAAACAAAGTTTAAACGTTCTGTGGAATGCTCAAAATATGAGCGCTTATTGTTTGTTTTCTTTTGTTCTATTTCGAATACCAAGGTCATGGGTTCGATTCCCAGCGATCACTTGTACTGTAAAAATATATTTTAGAAGCATTTGACAAAAGTTTGGTAGATGCCGGAATGTAAATGTTCTAATTTATTTGTGTAAGTATATTGAAAATGTAACAATGAGTTAATCATCATGACCATTTTAATGCTTGTAGAGGATGTGATTATGCAACTGGTTGTTTGTATTAATAGAAAGTCATATTTTCTTCCTACCTTCCTTTTGAAAGTTCCTTCCACACTTTTTTACTTTTAAACTTCTAGCTCAGCTGGTAGAGCGTGGTTCTAACAAAGCCAAGGTCATAGGTTCGATTCCCATGCGTTATCTGTTTTTTCTTATGATAAAGCTGTGCAAAATTCATACTTGTAAGTGCTCTCATTTATGTATAAGGTAACAAGGTTTTAACTTGCTTTAGAACATTCAGAGTGAGTTTGAAATTGTATTAATTGTAGTGGTTTTCTGTATTCTTAGGTCTGAAATGAGAAACATCACACGTCTGTTTGGGGCGACCCAACCTCAATGGGTCTCCTGGCTGTGGCTCTTGTTTTCGATGCTCTTTTGGACCTGTTTAAAAGCACAGCAGTTAAAAAACACTAGATGGCCGCTGTATTCCGGCAAGCCTTTGCTTTTGGCCTGGAACGCCCCTACAGAAGACTGTAGACCTCGACATGACGTCACCTTCCAGTTGGATCAATTCCAAATAGTGGCGTCACCAAACGAGGGCTTCACCAAGCAAAATCTCACCATCTTCTATCAGGACCGTTTGGGTTTGTACCCATATTTTGAGCCAGACGGCACTCCAGTCAACGGCGGCCTACCGCAAATCGCCAGTCTCACACAACACCTAGAACGGATGCCGGAAGGGCTCAAGAAGTACATCAAGGACCCGACAGTGAAAGGCCTCGCTGTGATCGACTGGGAGGAGTGGCGGCCACTCTGGATACGTAATTGGGGCCCTAAAGACATTTACCGTGATCGTTCGCGACGGTTAGTCGCTGAGAAAAACCCAACTTCGCCTCAAGATCAGGTGGCCAAAGTGGCCCAGCAAGA